GCTGAAAGGAGCTGTTTTTTCTTGCTGTTTGCTTGCAAGGAGGTAACTGCTGTGAGGCAGAGCCAGAGGGTGAGGGCCAGTGAGTGGGCGGGGCTACATTCAGTGTATAAGACGCACTTAAATTTTCACCCCCTTTTAGGGGGGAAAGCTGCATCTTATACTCTGAAAAATACGGTCAGTAATGAACAGGAATAGATACAGAAGTACAGAAAAGAAGAGGGTAAATTCACTTCCATTCAGCAGCCAAATCAACACAACACACTAGCTCCAGATTTACAAACTGCAATTGCTGCATTCACTTAAAGCAGGGGTCTCCAACCTTGGCAACTTTAAGCCTGGAGGACTTCAACTCCCAGAATTCCCCAGCCAGCCAGTTTTGCTTTAAGCCAGGCTTAAAGTTACCAAGGTTGGAGACCCCTGATCTAAATAAGTGCTATGCCAAATAAATTATGGATTAACAGAGTGGCCTGGCTCCTACAACATACAAAGACCACGGCTGCATTCTCACATTTAAATTAATCAGAATAGAGCTGGAAGGGACCTTGGGAGGTCTTCTAGTCCAACCCCCCCAAAGACCTTGGGACAAGTGGCTGTCCAGCCTCTTCTTAAAGGCCTCCAGTTACCCACCCACCCCCCTTTCTTTCCTGCGATTTCTGCTAGGAGGATGGGCAGAATGCATGGTTAATATTTACAGGGAGAAGGGTCAGTTAACGTTATAAATGGGATACTTTATTTTTCGGGCCATTACTTTTCATCATTAGATTTAATTAGTTACTTACCTAAATTAAAACCGATTCTACTTAGCCTAGTCTAGCGTGGCTGCGTGAATTCAGCGAGGCTTGCAAAACAGGCAGTTCTAAAAACAGGCAGTTCTGAACCTGTGACTAATCTAAACTCGAAATCTCCCCATCTCAAAATTGCTGAGGTTGAGAAATACCATCCTTCACAGGACTCTCTCTCCCCCCCCACTTCCTCCTCCTCTTTTAACTTCAGCCTCCCCTCAAGGCCACGCACGCGGACCCACTCTATCGCGTCGAACGGGAGCCGGCGATAGAGGGTCACACACAGCCCCAAAGCGCCGCGCCTCTTTGTCCCTCTGCTCCTCCTTCTTCTCCGGAACTTTTAGTCTCACGTCTCTTTCGGGGCCAGCAGCCGGGGAAGGCGTGTCGAACGGGAGCCGGCGATAGAGGATCACACACAGCCCCAAAGCGCCGCGCCTCTTTGTTCCGCTGATCCTCCTTCTCCTCCGGAACTTTTAGTCTCACGCCTCTTACGGGGCCAGCAGCCGGGGAAGGATTTGAGCGCCGGACTAGGCGGAAGTGAGCTGAGCCGGGCCCGTGATTGCAGTTCAGGGTGGGAGGGGGTGGACGAACAAGACTAGGGCACGGCGGAGGGAGTCGGGGCTGGTTCCCTTCCCTTTCGTGGCCCTTCCGTGCCCTCCCAGCGGCGGGGAGGAGAAGGAGGAGGAAGAGAGCAGCCGCAAAGCCGCCCGCGGGAAACCTTGCAGGGCTTGCCTAGCGGGTGGAGTGGAGGCGGCGAGGCTGCTTGCAGGGAGACTAACACGGGGAGGCTCCGCGGGCTGCTGCCGGGGGCGTCTGGGTGGGGAGGGGACCAGTTTCCCTTAGTCCGGCGGAGGGGCTGAAGAACCGCATGGGGAACCCTTGCAGGGAAAGACCCCGCGGGAAGCCCTTTGCAGCGGCCGCTCCAGCACACCGGCTGCCCTTTTAAAGCTGCCCTGGTGGTGGTGGTGGAGGGATCCCTTGGGGTTAAGCCTGAGTGTGTGTGTGTGTGGGGGGGGTCTCCTGCAGGCTCTCAGCGAAGCGACCGAGCGGGAGTGTGTGTGTGTGTGGGGGGGTCCTAGAAGGACCTCTCGGAAACTTTCAGGCATGGCCACCCGGCGTTTAACAGACGCGTACTTGTTGTTGCGGAACAACGCCATCCAAAGCCGGCAGCTGCTGGCCGAGCAAGTGAGTAGTTACAGCTCCTCCAGTCCTCTGACTTCACGTAGCATGGCTGCTGCGGTGAGTCTCCCTTCATCCTACTGTATCCCACGTGACGCTTGTTTGTGTGCCCACAACCGCTTAAGATAGCCAGCATGTCCCGTTCCCCCCACCCCTCTTTTTTTCTCCCCCTGTTCTTTTTTTTTTTTTTTAATTTGATTTATATGCCGCCCTTCTCCGGAGACTCAGGGCGGCTTACAATGCGTTAAGCAATAGCCTTCATACTTTTGTATATTTATACAAAGTCAGCTTATTGCCCCCACAAACTGGGTCCTCAATTTACCTACCTTAGAAAGGATGGAAGGCTGAGTCAACCTTGAGCCTGGTGAGATTCGAACTTACAGTAATTGCAGACAGCTGGTGTTAATCACAATGCTATCAGTCTGCTGAGCCACCAGGTCCTTTTGAGAGGTCTTGAATCCTCTCCGCTTTTCTCCAATCTTATGAGATCTGGGTTGACCTAACGGGTTGATTATTTTATGCTAGGCAGCCCTGGTAAGCATATCCCTAGTAGGCATACCCAGCAATCCCACAGTCAGTCTCCTCCGGGTCCCGTCAACTAAACAATGTCGGCTGTCGGGCCCGCGGGGGAGGGCCTTCTCTGTGGCTGCCCCGGCTCTCTGGAACCAATTACCTCCTGAGGTCCGGACCTCCCCCACCCTATTGGCCTTCCGCAAAGCGGTGAAGACCTGGCTCTTCGGGCAGGCCTGGGGCCGTTGATCTTGTTATAATGATCTTGCGAGACCTGGCCACGAATTGGAGTGCATGTGTTTTAACGTTTTTAAAGTTTTTAATGTTTTACTTTTTAACATTTTTTATGGGATTGTTCGCATTGTTTTATTCTTCATTGTAAGCCGCCCAGAGTCCCTTGGGAGTTGGGTGGCATAGAAATGCGACAAAATAAATAAAATAATAATAATAATATCCGTACATGTGGACTTAACTATAAACGCACCTGGGTCGGCTGCTCGTGTGACACAGAATGCTGGGTTAGATGAGCCTGATACAGCAAAGGTCTTATCTTCATAGTGTGAGGCTACCAATCTGGCTCAGTCTGGGCAAAGAAGGTTGGACTGATTCATGGATGTTACTGGGATCAATGGCTGGGTTATGCCAGCATATTGAAGGCTGTCTACTGGGAGAACCAGAGGGCGTCCTTAGGCAGATGGTTGCCCCCCTCCCCTCCCAGAACACTGCTAAATTTACATGGGTCAGGGAGCCAATCCAGCAGGGCACTAGTTAACTTTTTATGTTTTTTATTGTACTCCACAATTCCATAATAAATCTAATGCTAGGCTTTTTCTAAAGGTGGATCATTCTATACATTTGTTGTGAAAAACATGGTATGTCACTTTTGGTTTTTAACCAGCTACGGATAATAACAAAGTGGCCAGAAATAGAAGCTATCTTTATTGCTTGGGAAGTAAATTCCCTAATATTTAATTCATTTTGTTGGGTTGGGTTTTTGTTTTGATTTTTTTGGATGATGGAATATTTATTTCTTCTCCATTTTCTAATCAATAGTGCAGGTATAATAATTATTTTATAATGCAAATTAATGTAGCCCTGTACTTTCTCATGCCATCTTTAACCAATTGATTGCCCTTGAACTAGCTTCTTGGCAGTATGAAATGGCCTGTTTCAATATCAAAATAGAATGTGTTGAGGTTAGGAGATTTCTTTTAAAGTTGGAATACCCTGTTTCAAACTCTTAATGTTGCTGGGCACAACTATTTAGAGTCCATAATGGGGAGTTTCAGGCTCAGAGTAGTATTAACACAATATATTTTGAATACCTTCCCAAAAACTTTTATCTAGTATTAAACACAGAAAGTTGATGTTGCAAAGTTAGCAATAGCTCATATGGTTCTATTGATATAGTGCTGATAGAACCACATTTTTCTTGAGAGTGGATGTATGAAAGTAATTTATAGCTGAGGTACAGACTAGTGATTGTGAAGTCCACAAGTCTTAAAGCTGCCAAGCTTGAAGTCCTCTGCTTTATATGCAATGGATCTGATAATAGAGGCAGTATCAGCTGAATACAATTGGTCCGCCACGTACGACCCTAATGGAGCCCAGAATTTCCATTATAAGTCACGGCAGTCATAAGTTGAGGCACTCATGGGACCATGCCAGCAATTTTAATAAAATAATCCACCATTTTCCTCCCCAGCAGTTAACTGGCAGGATATATCAATTTTCCAATTGACTTTTCTTTTAGCTGGCAGTATGAAAATCATAGAGGTTTAAGTAGATCCATTATCCAGCCCTCCCTCCTTAAGGGACTGGTTCCTAACGTGCGTATTCAGAATAGTTGTTGCTATTTTGGTCTTGTAGTATTTCCAGAATTATTCCTCAAGATGATAGAGTTGAAATGACTGAAAATAAAGTCACTATGGAGTTCACAGCAGTTTTAAAATGCTAGAGAAGAGTATAATCATTAAAGAAGACTATAAAACAATAATCAGCTTAATGTAAAAGGCATGCCAGATTGCCTTTTGACGTGGACTGTGCTCTGTGGGTGAGATCAAAGGAGGCAGTTGAAGCCATCCAGTTGCTGGAAGAAATAGCTGAATAATCGTAATAGATTACATTTATAGACCTTTACAGCACTGAAACAAAAGGACTTTAAGCAAACAGGCATATTGGTGTTAAAGAAAGGCAGACAGGTATCTGTGCAGAATAGAACAGCATTCTTTGTGGCAGAAATTATTGGAATGAACTAAATTGTTAATAGAAAGTAGGATGGACAACTATACCAAAAGGCTTTATATGTCATTTATCGTTGTTGTTCCAGCACTAATGAAGGCCAGGTTAAGTGTCCATAGGAAGCCCTTAGTATGGCATCCATTTCCATCTACATCAGTGTTTCTCAACCTTGGAAGCTTGAAGATGGGTGGACTTCAACTCCCAGAATCCCCCAGCCAGCGCTGCTGGCTGGGGGATTGTGGGAGTTGAAGTCCACCCATCTTCAAGCTACCAAGGTTGAGAAACACTGATCTACATGAAGAAATATCTGTCATGTGCTTTCTTTTTACTTTTTAAACTGTCCTAGTGTCAGCGTCTCCTCACAGTTACATCACCCCTACATGTTGTGCCTTATTTCTCATTTCCTTTTTTGACCTGCTAGAAACCGGAGCTCCATTTGCAAAAAAACCATAAGACTAAATTAGGGATGGAAGTTACGACAAGACAGCAAAATTGTAGGATCAAAAGTATCTTCAAGAATTCGTCCAGTCCTGCTAATTAGGAAATCCATCAGTGCAATTCTCTGTGTAGAGAAGCCTTTTTCTTAAAAATAGGAACAGTTTTGACCTGTGAGAATTCTTTTGGCTTCAACTTGGCCACATTTGATTCTGAAACAAATCCAATTTAGAGATTGGTTAATGAATGTTGCCCATACAGACTTTCTATAATGAATGATCTGCATGTAATCTTTGACTTTTTTCCCTGTTTCATTACAACTCATATGTACAATGGATTCTTTTTAGACATCTCATGGCTACATAGTTTAAATCTTAAATGTAAGATCCTCTATTTATTGTTTTAATGTTTATGGTGCATTTTAATTGAATGTTTGTAAGCCACCGTAGAATCGCTTTGGCAAGATAGGCGGTGTATCAGTTTGGTAAATAAATACCCTGTTTCCCCCAAAATAAGACCCAACCAGAAAATAAGTCCTAGCATGATTTTTCAGGATGCTCGTAATATAAGCCCTACCCCCAAAATAAGCCCAGTTAAGATTGTCAGCCAGATGGGTGCATTTAGTACCGTATTTTCCCCCAAAATAAGACCTAACCAGAAAACAAGCCCTAATGCATCTTTTGGAGCAAAAATTAATATAAGACCTGGTCTTATTTTCGGGGAAACACAGTAGTTGTGTTATTTTCAAGTGTCATGTAACTGACTTAAGTTGGAATCAGATTCTCTAAACTAGGATTCAGTGAACAAGTTTGGATTGAATGATTGCTTTTAATGGCTAAATTAAATAGGTCTGGATCCACTATCATATTAAAAATTAGCAATTTATACTGTTTGTGAGAATCTGCCTTAGTTTTCTTTTTATTTCCTTAATGAACTTTTTAAAAAGTTTGTAATGTAAAGCTCCTAAAATGTGCATTTCTTTACAGATCAAGAACGTGATTAGAAATATATTGAAAGGAAAAAAATACAATATGCAGCTATTCCCCAAGGCCGAATGCCAAATCCACCTGAAAACTGATACTGCTTTAAAAGACTGTTTTGTTTTCTGTGATAATCTGCCAATGTTGATCAATAAAATACTTGCATTCCTTCAACTGACTGTACCCTGTGCTCTGTCCTATTCTTTTTGTTTCCCTCTCTTAAAATTTTTTGCTGTCTCTATATGGATGGGCTGATGTGATCCACAAACCATCTCAGGAGCTGGATGAGGTATAGTGCTGTTTGTCTAATCTGTTCTTTCAAATAAATTGACGTTCAAAGTTGGCTTGTTGTGGCAAGGTTAACTACTGCATTTAACTTAGGGTTATTCCTCCTGGGAGTTTTCCAAAGAGAAACCAGAAGACTGATTTACAAATAGTCCTCTGGAATTTGTCTCTGGTTTACTTCATTTCCTCACTTACCATAATATGCATGGATATTGAAGTGGCCAGGATTTAAAATATTACTATTTAAACCAGGTATATCCAATCCATGGCCCACGGATCGCATATAGCCCTGGCAGCTAGGAATGTGGGCCCCACAAAATAATAATAATAATAATAATAATAATAATAATAATAATAATAATAATAATAATAATAATATAATGCCAGATACCTAGGATGCTGGCAGCAACCCATATCAACCATTGATGCAGGTCAATGATATTTGTGATACATTTTTAAATGTTCAGTTGACTGAGTTTCATGTTTAATAAATAAAAGATAATAATAATAAATATATATAATATCCAATAATACAATACAACTAGAAATATAATACAAAATAACTGGACTATAGAATAACAGAGTTGGAAGGGAGCTTGGAGGTCTTCTGGAAACCCTATACTATTTCAGACAAATGGTTGTCAGACAAATCTCTTCTTAAAAACTTCCAGTGTTGTAGCCTTCACAACTTCTGGAGGCAAGTTGTTCCACATACTATATTATATATGCAGCCCACATTCACTCAATGTGGCCCAGTCAATCCAAAAGGTTGGATAACCACTGTATTTTATCACAACATCCTTCTCTGAAATACTGTAGCTCAGAGTGATTCGTGATTAATGCTATAGAGTGGGCTTTTTGTAGCGAATCTTACTGTTAGGCTTGCTAAACATATATAGCGGCCACAAATGAAAATGTCTAGTAGAGGAAAGTTCAGTCTGGTTTTCTATATTGATTTCCCAAATTTTACAGTGATCATCCTAAGCGCCTATACACTCTAGCAAAGAATGTGCATTGCTTAACTAGCATGCTTGCTATTAACACAGTACATCTTTTAATTCAGTGATGTGCTTTCTTGCCTTCTACTCGGGAGATAATGTGATTTTGTTTTTCTCCTCATGAGAGTTGTCTGTAGCACTGTAGTCTGAGTATTTCTACTTAGAACAGGGGTCTCCAACCTTGGCAACTTTAAGACTTGTGGACTTCAAGTCCCAGAATTCCTCAGCCAGCGAAGGAATTCTGGGACTTGAAGTCCACAAGTCTTAAAGTTGCCAAGGTTGGAGACCCCTGTCTTAGAGTGCTTGGACCAGAGGTCTTCAAACATGGCAGCTATGCTAGGTGGAGAATTCTGGGAGTTGAAGTCCACAAGTCTTAAAGCTGCCATGTTTGAAGACCTCTGGTTTAGACTGAGGAGACTAGAAGCTGTTTGCCTGGTATATTAATAAATTTAAGTCTGCTGAGCATACTGTTCCACTCCAATGCCTTAATAGAAATATCAGAAATAACAGTTCTGTGGCTTCGTCCCAGGCGAGGAGAGAGCAAGGGCTGGGAATAATCCCTGCCCTCTGGGTAAGGCTCTATGCAAGGCCTGTGACTGCTCCCTGTGGGCTACACCAGGAAACCAGCACAACCTAGCTGGACTCTGGAACTCATATTTAAGAGTCCAGACCATTCTTCCCCAGGGCAGAAGTAGCTCAGTTATTATCAATTTTGCTGCTACCTTGCAATCCTGTCCCAAGTATGTAAAATGCCATCAGCACAGGAGGACGTGAACATTTGCTGTTTATCCAAGCATTTATATTTAGAAAAACAAAAACTGGAGCTGGTTGTTGCCCCCAAACATTTCCCTTTTACATTAGCTTCTAAAGCTCTGGATGTACAGAGACACATTTTATTAGCTTAGCTTCAGCATAATTGCCATTTCCTTTTTCTAGAAAAGGACTAAAGCCTAAGAATACCGAAATGTCTTAACTGGCATGTTTACTTGGAAACGAAAGAAACGTAGAGTTTGACTTCGCAGGAAGGTTTTTAGGTTTAAAATATATCGCTAGGAAGACGTGAGGGCCACTTTTAAAAAGGGAGCTGCCACTGCAGATGATCCACTGTGTCTAATGTGGTGGATTGCTTTTAAGAGTTCCTTAAGTGTAACATTTTCTCAAACCAGGAGCTAACAAGGTCTGAACAAAAGAGGTTGTAAACTATAAATAATTTTAATATATCAAGCATTTCCTTTAATTATAAAGCCAACTGTAGATTTTTATATAGCTTCCTGACAAAACAATACCCATTCATGGGTTGTATTGTGAGAGGCGGCAAGCAGCTACTTGTCCTTAATAAGCAGACGTTATCTGGATGTTAAGTGGAAGTACAGTGCCAATGTAGACCGGGATCCAGGGCTAGCTAAATTCTCAGACCTATAGATTAATTTGGAATGGATCCCCCCAAACCAACTCGCTCTGTCCTGTTTTTTCCACTATGCTCTTTGGGTTTCGGTTTCATTCACTCTCTGTGGCTTACTGTGCACATCCAGCTAAGTTGTTTTTTTATTTAACCATGACTTGTTAAATAAATTATATTAGGATGGTTTTGCCCAACGTGCTGAAACGTAACAATTTGCTAAATATACTGGCTGGATTCTTTCAACGTGCTATGCCAAACCACATTTTGGCTTAGTCCAATGTGTAAACCCAGTCTACTAGAAGTGCGCTCTTTAAGACCCCATCATTCCAAAGGCTAAGAATGTTATATAAGATACAGAATTTGCTTCAAACTTAATCTTGGTTTAAGCCAGTATGGAGGTTATTTATACCTATCTATCTTCAAAGATCTTTTTGAGGCCTTGACAATGGATAGACAGCTAAGCTGGGACATAAAATGTTCTTTGGTCTTTGAAAAGAAAATAGTAAAATAAAGTTGTTCTTTTAATAGTTACCAGCTTGGCCCAAAATCATTTATCATGTATTAACCTCACTTCAATTGCATAAAAAGCACATGTACGTTTGGAAAGTAATATAGAAAATAACAAAAGCTGAAATAATTTCATACTACCTATTTTCTTTATAACTTCTTGAAGGGGTGCAAAGCTAAATTTTGCTTTATCAAATTGCGGTGTGGGCCTTCTTTCCATTTGACCTAAATTCTTCAAGCCCTTCTTTTTCCTTGTGCATCTGCTTTTCTTGCCTAACTAGATTTACTTTTTCAAACTTGGCTTGTGTTTTAAGTAAAACTCTGCATTTATATACGGTGTGTTTAACATGTGTGAAATGAAGCTTGGCCCGGGAATTTGTTTTGTCAAACAGTATGAATGAGTCATAAACTGAAATATTTTAGGTATTATGTACAGAGCCATAGCCTTTCCTTAAGCCAATGGTTTTCCTTTAAACCTGAGAGAACTTTGTACACCAGCTTTTCTATGATTTTCTGCCATAAAACCCTGCAAATGGCAGAGTTCTGAAGAGAAGACACTGGATGCGTGTTTGTTTGCAAGTATGTTGCCCAAGTTTGTGGGTTCTTATAATTGTCTTACATGACTATCTCAAGAAATACATTCAGCTCTCCTTTGCAAATCTAAATTAAAATGGAGTAATCTAACAAGGGTCAGACTTCACCACTTGTCTCATTACAGTTACAGAGTCAGTTTGGTCTAGTGGTTAAAGCACCAGACTAGAAACTGGGAGATTGTGAATTCTAGTCCTTCCTTGGCCACCAAAGCCAGATGGGTGACCTTGGGCCAGTCACTCTATCTCAGCCAAACCCACCACACAGAGTTGTTGGGGGAAAAAATAGGTGGAGGAAGCTGCATTGGATATGTTTGTTGCCTTGAGTTATTTGTCAAAATAAAAAAGATATAAATGGGATATAAATAAATATATAACCAGATTTCTCACCAGAGAACCTTGGTTAGTGTCCAAGAAATCTCAAAGAGTTATAAAGAATCAGAAATGTGTAATTTTGATTCACAACAGTCTAAACACATTTCTTCTATTTTTCTCCAGCTTGCAGATGATCGCATGGCACTGGTATCAGGTATCAGTTTAGATCCTGAAGCAGCTATCTGTGTATCTAAGAGGTTGTCTCCCAAGTGGATTGATGGTATAGAAGAAGTAAGTATATAAAGAATGTGATCACATATGCTTACATTCTGGAAAAGCAGTAGTAAAAACTGCCAATATTTTGTTTACTTAATTTTTATCTTCCGATGTTCAGGGCAGAATGTAAAACTAAAAAGTGGTGGTTAGAAGTTACAGTTCTAAAAATATTCAATAGGAATACATACCTAACTAACTCCATGAAATGTAAATTTGCTTTTTACAATTTGTACAATTCTTTACAATACATTACAATATTTCAGGTTTTAAGAGAGAGAGGGATGGGGGCATAGTATGGAAATATCATGTTTTCCCGAAAATAAGAGCCTGTCTTATATTTTTTTGAACCCTGAAATAAGCGCTTGGCCTTATTGCCATGCACTCAAAAGCCCGATTGGGCTTATTTTAAGGGGATGTCTTCTTTTGGGGAAAACAGGATATATGGTATTTTATTCTCCCATTTATAAAGGAGGAGGGTTTTGATATGGGAATCCATTTGATTTGCAAAGGTTCAAGTTGCTAGCATTAGCTGGAAGAGGAAATTCATAGGGTTGAAGGCAATAAAATGCGTAAGGAAATAGCTGGATTATATCTTGTTGATACTACGTTTTTTCCCATTATATGACCTTCCTTGGTAGAGTTGTTAAGTGAATCCCTGCAGTTGTTAAGTTAGTAACATGGTTATTAAATGACTCTGGTTTCCTTATTGATTTTGTTTGTGTCAGATGGTCGCAAAAGGTGATCACATGCTCACACTGCAGCTATCATAAATAAATGCCAGTTGCCAAGTGTCCAAATTTTGATCATGTGACCGTGGGGATGCTGCAATGATCATTAGTGTGCAAACAGTCATAATTAACTTTTTTCAGTGCCAATGTCAGGATTCCAAGTAACATACCCATAGCAAACAAAACTCTTGAGGCAGGCAAGTTCCTCAAAGAATAGGTTTATTAGATATGTCATATTGGCACAAGCTGGTGAAAACCGACTCTGTATATTCAGAGGTGGGCTCCTGCCGGTTTGGACCGGTTTACGCGAACCGGTAGTTCCGATCAACGGCTTGGCCCACCCACCCGCCCTGGCGCTATCCTGACCTATATAATCACAGTTTTTACAATGCCGCACGCTCACATTTTCGGTTCTGGGCGAACCAGTTATTACAGTATGTGATGCCCACCTCTGTGAATATTCCCGTGGTTTTCACCTGATTAAATGTGAAAGTTTGTCACTTTCTCATAACAATGAGTTACATGGTCCAATCCAGGGGTGGGTTCTACTTACCTTTACTACCGGTTCACAATGGGAGCACGCACGCGCACGCTTCTGCGCATGTGCAGATCGGCCATGATGACATCTGGGCAGTGGGCGGAGCCTCCCACCATTTTTACTACCAGTTCGCAAGAACGGGACCAAACCGGGAGTAACCCACCACTGGTCCAATCAGGACGCTGTCCAGTTGCTAGGTGACTCCAGTCCCCTCCTTCAGAGTACCTGCAGGAATATCCTTGGTTCCCACAAGAAAGTATTTTGTTTTGGCTACCACACCCCAACTATCTCTATTCCCCCCTCCCTGTCCCTCTTCTCCAGTATGTCAGCTCTGAAGTCTCAAAATGGCCTCAGGCCAGCTTCAGGGTTGACAGCCATTGTAACTTCAAATAGTCACTAAATGAATAGAGAACAACCTGTATTTTATCGGTCTAGTTTTGATGGAATTCAGTTTCTTGGTCAAGACAGTGAGAGATCAACCATTTCAGAAGTGATCTGAACCCAAAATATTATGGCTTTCCTCCCCCCCCTCCCCCGCCCCTGGTGGATCCAACCCTAAGTCTGAAAAGGGTAAAAAGATTCCACTTCTGTGTATATAGCTGAAATTGAATAGCATTTTTCTGTTAAAAAGCCAATGTGATCTTTTAAAAATATAACCAGGTGGTGTTTTTTTTTTTTTAAACTTTACTATTGTCTGGAATGTTTTCTTCACTTAAGTTTCTTTGTTTCTAAATTTGCCCTTATTTTTTCCAAATTTCGTTTTAAGATTCGATATGAGATATCCAGGATAAAACAGAAGATGAAAGAACTAGCCAGTTTGCATGACAAGCATTTAAACAGACCGACTTTGGATGATAGCAGCGAGGAAGAGCATGCAATAGAAATAACCACTCAAGAAATTACACAGGTGCCACCGCGGTTCTCCTTACAAAATAGAATTGGGTATTACCTAATGCAGATATGTGAGTAAGTTGCCCTAATGCCCCCTTGGATAAAGGGAAAAATCCAACAGTCAGAAGTCAATTTTGTTTGACTTCTTAAACAAAAATTTTTAAAAATGGCAATATTGTACTGATATATGAATAAATATATAATATTTATAAAATATAAAATATAATAAAAAATATAAAATATAATAAATGATATATGAATAAAAGGGACACAGTGGCTCAGTGGCTAAGACGCTGAGCTTGTCGATTGAAAGGTCTGCAGTTCAGTGGTTCGAATCCCTAGTGCCGCGTAACGGGGTGAGCTCCCGTTCCTTGTCCCAGCTTCTGCCAACCTAGCAGTTTGAAAGCATGTAAAAAACGCAAGTAGAAAAATAGGGACCATCTTTGGTGGGAAGGTAACAGCGTTCCGTGTGCCTTTGGAGTTTAGTCATGCTGGCCACATGACGACGGAGACGTCTTCGGACAGCGCTGGCTCTTCGGCTTTGAAATGGAGATCAGCACCACCCCCTAGAGTCGGGAACGACTAGCACATATGTGCGAGGGGAACCTTTACCTTTACCTTTTATGGATACATATGTAATTTTAAGAAGAAAAATGCAAAGATTTTAAACATCCGCAGTTAAGAATTCCAACCAAAACGCATTTGGAAAAAATGTTATTACCATTTTAAAAAATGGAGACCTAATTTGAATAAAACAGTACTTAAGATTCTATGTTATAGATTTAATTGTTCAGCTGTTGCAACTACACATAATTTAAATACCACTGATGCCAATAAAGATTTATTTCAATTTAACAACTTTTTGCAACAATCTAACACTTGAAGAAGAAATTTTTGGGTTGCCTGGTTTATAAGGTAGGTAAAATGAGGACCCAGATTGTTGGGGGCAATATGCTGACTCTGTAAACCGCTTAGAGAGGGCTGTAAAAGCACTATGAAGCGGTATATAAGTCTAAGTGCTATTGCTATTGCTACAGCATCTTGCTGGCAGATAAAGTCACTCAGATCTACTCCCAATTGAAACCCAGTGGGCAGGTCCTGTTGAGATGCCTGAAGCAGAGTCTTGCAGAGTTATCTGGGGCAGGTTTGAGACTGTGACTCATGAAGAAGTGGACACAATTCTCCAGCTACCTGTATGCTAGATCCAGGTCCCTCCTGATTGGTCAAATCTTCATGGGAGTTGATCTTTGACTTCGAAGTTGTTTCCCGGGTTTTGAAAGAGGCAAGGGTATACCAGCTCTTCAAGAGACCATTGTTGGACCCAGTGATTCTGGACAATCGTCATCCAGTCTCCATCCTTCCCTTTGAGGACAAGGTTGTTGAATGGAATCTGGTTCCTGCACTATTTCGAAACTTTCAAAAGAGCCTGACTAACTATACGTAGGTTCCTTATTATACCTCAGTCTGGATTTTTTTTCCCTTAAAGGTCAAGAGCTCCTTTTGCTTTTTATCAAAGAAAGAAATATTACCAATAGCTTCAGTTATTGCGATGAGCTATATGTATATTCTCAACTCTGAGATGCATATATTCTCTTTCTGTTGGCTTCAGTTATTCTCTGCACAGTGTAAATCACCAGAAACTCGGCACAAAAAATTACTGTGAGCTTCCATTAAATAAGCCTTTAAGACAGGGGTCTCCAATCTTGGCAACTTTAAGACTGGTGGACTTCAACTCCAGAATTCCTCAGCCAACAAAGCTGGCTGAGGAATTCTGGGAGTTGAAGTCCTCAAGTCTTAAAGTTGCCAAGATTGGAGACCCCTTGGAAGTCAAGTTGCCAAGATTGGAGACCCCTTGGAAGTCAAGTTGCCAAGATTGGAGACCCCTGCTTTAAGACATAGTTGAATGTCTTAGAGCTCTAGAGGATAACTTTACTTCAGTTTAAAGAAATAGTTTCTGAGGCATTTGTTGTTGTTGTTGTTGTTGTTGTTGTTAATTGAACCAGGAATGCTTGCTCCTGTTTCTCTATAAAAACGATTTGTCCTCTCTTTCTCTCTCTCTCTCTCTCTCTCTCTCTCTCTCTCTCTCTCTCTGTCCCCCCCAGCTATTTCACAGATGTCAGAGAGCAGTCCAGGGTTTGCACAGCAAGACTCGGAGCTCTACGGACCAAGAATGCCGGCTTCTGAAGAACGTTGTGTGTTCCTTAGCTCAGTCTCTGCAGGACCTCTCCATAAGCTTTAGGCACGGGCAGTCTGACTATCTCAAACGTAAGCCATGGACCGTTTGCGGCCTTTTACAACAGGGCATCTTGCCTCCGCGACTGAGAATTCTTAGTGGCAATAATCTTCTTGTTCTTACAGGCATGAAAAATCGAGAAGAAAGATCCAAACATTTCTTCGGCACCTCAGTCTCTCTCATGGATGACGGGGAGGATACGACACTGTATGACAGGGTAGGTACCGAATTGTCAACTGGAATGTTTTTATGTAAAAGTACACAGCATCTGGGGTTCATTTGCCTGCTGTGAAGAACTTGAAAGCAATGATTGCATGCATCAGTTAAAGTTGAACGAGTCTCTTTTGTTTTAAGGTGCAAATTTCTCAGAAGAGACAAACTTTTGAAAACTGCACGCTATTTGCTGGCATGCCAAAGAATCAAAAGTACTACCACCCCCCTCTTTTCTCTCTCTCTCTCCCTCTCTCTCTCTCTCTCTCTCTCGTTTCCTTTCTGATATTTTTTTCTCTATTTCTGATTACCCAGCAGGCTGCAAGGGAAATGATAAATCACTCTTGCAGGAAGGCTTTAGAATTAAGCTGAGAGTCCCATATTATCCTCTGTCTTAAGGCTGACTACCTGCTGTTTAAAAAATTGGTCTCTAGGATATCTGCCACAAATCATCCTCACAGTTGCTAGGAAGGATTGGGTTGCTTATAAACTGATTCATTGGAACTCTCAAAGGGTGCAGCTGGGCTCAGAATTATGCCACAATTATAGTGCTTATCTTTTTAAAAGAGAACTTTTAAGAGAAAGATTAAAGAGATTGCAGAGGGGGAAAATACAGAATAGAATAGAATAGAATAGAATAGAATAGAATAGAATAGAATAGTTTTTATTGGCCAAGTGTGATTGGACACTCAAGAAATTTGTCTTTGGTGCATATGCTCTCAGTGTACATAAAAGAAAAGATACATTGATCAAGAATCATAAGGTACAACACTTAATGATAGTCATGGGGTACAAATAAGCAATCAGGAAACACTCAATATAAATCATAAGGATACAAGCAACAAAGTTACAATCATACAGTCATAAGTGGGAGGAGATGGGTGGTGGGAATGATGAGAAGATTAATAGTAGTGCAGACTTAGTAAATAATTTGACAGTGTTGAGGGAATGATTTGTTTAGCAGAATGATGGCGTTTGGGAAAAAACTGTTCTTGTGTCTAGTTGTTCTGGTGTGCAGTGCTCTATAGGGTTGTTTTGAAGGTAGGAGTTGAAACAGTTTATGTCCAGAATGCGAGGGGTCTGTAAATATTTTCACAGTCCTCTTTTTGACTCGTGCAGTATACAGGTCCTCAATGGATGGCAGGTTGGTAGCAATTGTTTTTTCTGCAGTAAGATATTATATTTGAATGGGAAGCTATAAGTCTGCTGTTTGGTTTGAAAACCTTTTGGGGTTTGTCAATGCATTTTGAATGGTACAATATTTAGCTATTTACAGTCTGACATTTTTGTTTTTATTTTAATAAGGGTTTTACAGATGACCAGTTAGTATTAGTGGAACAAAACACTATGTTGGTGGAAGAGCGGGAACGAGAAATTCGACAAATTATACAGTCCATTACTGATCTTAATGAAATTTTCAGGGATTTAGGAGCAATGGTAGTTGAACAGGTAAGTGGCTTCTTACATCAATGCTATTTGCATCGTATAAGATCTTGATTTAGAAGATTATATGTCTTTCTGGAGTTCACTTGAAAGAAAAGCAGGATGTAAACATAATAAAAAATCAGGTGGATCGAACCTAATCACATTGAAGTAGCATTGTTGAAAAAAATGGTCTAATAGATCTAATCATTTCACTTTGGCTTACCAACTGAGAGTAATTCTGAAACTAGTCCTAACCTAATTAAAATTAATCATTTTACTTTGTATTTCTGTTTGCTTGATTAGGAACGATTCAAACATTGTCAGAAATCCTGAGTTTTGCTAAGTATCTTGTCTGTACCTTTGTACCAACTCTGTGAATACACTTACAAAGCATACTGATGGAATCCTATGCCTTTGGAGGCTATAGCAGGTGCAGAGTTCAGCAGTGTGGACAGTTTTGGGGGGCTCAAGAATGGCCCATGTAACACCATTGGTCCATGAGCTGCATTGGCTGCTGGTTTGCTTCCAGGTGCAATTCAAGAATCTTGAATCACATGATAATCACATGACATGGGTCCATGCTACTTGCAGGACCACTTCATCCCACTGTGATTAGCCTGTTGCACCCGTGCCAGCAGAAGAGGCATCCTGCAGGCCGCATCGCCCAGGTTATTCTGGCTAGTGGGGATCCAGGAGAAAAGCCTTCTCTGCCATTGTACCTGCCCCCTGGAACATCTTGCCACCTGGACTGAGGTTGGCTCCAACTCTCCTGACCTTCAGCAAGGCCTTAAGGACCTGGCTTTGTCAGGTGGCATGGGGCTCCAATAGAGGGACTTCACATTGGGGGTGGTTGACATACTAATAACAACTCCTGTCCCCCCCACGCACACACCCTGCTGGTCCTATTCCCTCTCTCCCCATCTTTTAGTTAGGGTTGAGTATTTATCTTTTTATATTATATGAATTTTGTAAAATTTTATCTTTTTAATATTAACAATCGCCCAGAGTTACTTTGTGATAAGATGGGTGAACAATAAATTAGATAGATAGATAGATAGATAGATAGATAGATAGATAGATAGATAGATAGATACCATAGTTAGTTAGTTAGGTAGGTGGGTGGATGGATGGATGCATCGATGGATGGACGGACAACAGAGAGACAGACAGACGATAGGCAGGCAGATAGATCCTAGAGTGGGAGGGAGTCATTTGGATCATCAGAAAGGTTGTGATATGGGGCAAAACTCACTTAACAACTGTCTCACTTAGCAACAGAAATTTCGGGCTTAATTGTGATTGTTAGTCACAATTGTATATGTACATACAAGAAGCAAGACAAGGATGAATTATCTGCCTTTGGTTCTTCAATCTATTTCTACACTAAAATATAGAATATTCAATATTTCTATATTGGGGTGTGTGTAAATATATATACATGCACAGACACACACATTGTTAGAGGTGTAGAGGGAAGGTTCACCAAATATTCCACTTTTTTTTGTACATGCTTTATTTTCATATGCTGGTTTTTCAGCATTCAGTAGCCAACCAATTTATATTAATAGAAAACATTCTATAATTTAAGCCTATCTTAATACATAATGCATTTCAAATCAATCAACCTTTATTATTGTCACAGACCAGCATTTCAGCCTACAGAACTGATACATATTTTTTCTTCAGGGTACCGTACTGGATAGGATTGACTACAATGTTGAACAGTCATGCATAAAAACAGAAGAAGGATTGAAACAACTACATAAAGTAAGCAGAGAATGTTTTTTCGATGTCTTATTCTGAATACTATATATTTCATACTGTCGAGGAGCTTGTTAGTATGATTCCAGACTTAAGAGGCATAACATTTTCTCTTTTCATACCTATTGTTTTAGAAGTTAAAAGGACAACAATGGGAGCTAGCTAAAATTAAGGAAGTTAGACGAATGGCTCCTATCCTAGATATCTCAATATTTAGCATTTAATGATTGCATGTGAATGTGATTACCTTTTCCTGATTGTTCCTCTGTGCAGTTCTCCCACAAATCTCTTTGCAGTTGGCAGATGGGTATTTCTACCCATTTCTTTTTATCCACAGAATTGTAAAATAGTCTAGGTGTAAAGGTTGAGCTCATCTTTGGGTTGAGTTCTATGAGGGTTAAGGTAATTCCTTATCTTATTTGTGGGATATAAATCAGTTTATGCTACACGTACTTCTGCCAGAAAGGGAAACATCACGGGTGTATTTATAATCTGCTCTGTACCAAACTTCCTATAACAGTTTACATAATGAAAAATAAATGAAAATGACAATCTAGTGTCCACAAAACGAAGTCCAGAAAACAACAAGAACAAAAAAGGAAAAGTTCCAAAAACAAAGGAAACATTAGAAATAAACTCAAACTGGTTCTGTCCTTACTCCCTAGGACAGTGATGACAAACCTTTTCGGCACCGAGTACCCAAACTGGAATGCGTGTGCTTGCGTGTGCATATGCGTGTACCAGAAATCCGAAGACCAGATGGCCAGTGTGCATGAGCATGCCAGCCAGCTAGTCTTCGGATTTCTGGCACATGCATGCACACCAGCTAGCTGATCTTCGCACGCACTGAAGCACCGGAAACCCAAGACCAGCTCGCTGCTGCGTGCATGCCTGGTTTTTGGTCATTTTTTTTGGCTGTTTTCCGGCACCCGTGAAGACCAGCTGGCCGGTACGCGTGCCCACAGAGAGGGCTCTGTGTGCCACCTCTAGCACATGTGCTCTAGGTTTGCCATCATGGCCCTAGTACAGGGGTGAAATGCTCCCGGTTCGAACCAGATCGCCCAATCCGGTAGCGATGGCAGCGGGTGGTTCGGAGCACCAGTAGCAAAAATCCCTGCACACACACACACCCCCATGCCCAGCTGAGCCGCGGAATCAGAGGCTGGTTTTTTTTTTATTTTTAAAAGCATTTTTTCTACAACCTCTTCAACCAGAGGTTGTAGAAAAAATGCTTTTAAAAGTAAAAAAAAAAAAAAGTTGGCCACGCCCACCCAGTCACATTACTCCCCCTACCAAGCCACGCCCACAGAACCGGTAGTAACAAATTTTAGATTTCATCCCTGCCCTAGGATATAAGAGGAGTGAAGAGAAAATGCTATCAGGCTTTTTTAAAAAGATTTTCAGGTAGGCCATACCAGAAAACTGACTTCACCAGTTTGATTAGATAGAATATTTACTGATACAGACTGTAGTAACGTAACCTTGAAAGCCGAAAGCTTTTTTTGCTTCCCTCCCTTTTATATAGGGAATAAAAGCAAAGTCAGTCTGAGTCCATCCTTTATTTTTTTTTTCTGTCTTTTCCAAGTTAAAGCACACTTTTTGTGCATATTGTAGTCGTCATCTCCACTTAGTTTCTCCAAGGTCATTTCTGTGGCTCTCTAACAAATTATTCCTTATTTAGAGTAATTTATTTTCTGCTACCTACAGGAAAGAATCTCTGTGTTAAAGTCCTCTTTTCTGTATCTGCAGGCCGAGCATTATCAAAAGAAGAATCGGAAGATGCTCATCATTTTAATTTTGTTTGTCATAGTTATTATCCTTATCATTGTCCTTATTGCTGTAAAATTCCGCTAGGCGCGATGTGCCGGTGATGCTTTCCTTTCTCTCTTGTGTTTGTCTGAGAGGTAGCAACAAATTTTTGTGTGTTGTGTTTCTCCCGTTTTTGTTCCTGACAGGAATGGTTGAGCTCTTGAAAGCTGCCTGTTGGATGAATGTAGGGGATCTAATGGTGCAAAGTCTGTGCAATGTTCATACAGAAAACCTCTGTTTTACATGTTCAGTGAATATGGAAGGCAGTTGATTTGTAAAAGTCAGAAATGTGCAGAAATGTCAGAATTTCCGAGAAAAGCTACCAAATCAGGCATTTTGTTTACCCAGGCCATTGAAATGCTAGAATGCATTTTTAAAAAGTGATTTAAAACATTTCGGGAAGTGCTTTTTACTAAACAGGAATCATACAGTGCTTTCTACCATGACTTAGCCTACGGTTAATTTTAGGGTAAACTGTCCAAATTATGATGTGGACATCATTCCCAAAACTATTACGTTGGAGATTATTTTTTTTAAAAAAAAATGCCTTAAAGATACAATATTTCCTCTTTACCGTCTTCCCCTCCAGAGTTAATATTAGTATGGGTTCACAGAAATAAAAAAAAAGATTTCTAATTTCATTCTATTATTCCAAAAGTGGTGGTTGGCATTATCAATAATACTCTAGCCTACAGAGAGTATTATTGTTTTAAGATGATTTTTTTAAGTTTTAAATAATCAAGAATGTGTTTTGATTATTTCCACCTCTTCCCACTATTGAACTGAAAAGCGTTTCTCTGATCCCTCTTTCTGAATCTTCCTTCCCAAACCGAATCTGTTAATAATACACAGCAGTAGTTACATATTTCATCTTATTATTTTCAGAGCACGAACAGAAAAGGGCATGGTACATTTCACACACAGTTTAAATTGAACTAATGGCAGCATCAGGAACTTACATTTAAATAAAATCACTTTTTTTGTCCTCGGCTGCGAGATCTCAGGAGAATTTGGAATCCTGTTCAGAGCAAATCTTGCTCTGCATCAGTATTTCTTATTTCTCTTAACATTGTAGGTGGTGCTGCTGAAAAAGATACAGTTTTCGTGATTTAAAAAATCTCATCTTTTAACGGTAACTTAAAATTGCTGTGCTATTTGGGGCCCTTGGTGTTCAATCCTTTTTTTTTTAAAGTATTCTGTACTGAAGAATTTAAAGGTTGTACTTTGCATCTCTTTTTGCTGTGATTTAGCAACACACCAGTTGCCAACTGTTTTTTTAACTGCCTTAGATTGATCATGGAATGATTGCAATGCTGCCTGTGTACTTGTTACACCTTGTTTTCTTCCTTTCATCCAGCTCTTTGCATCATTCAGATTTCTTGTATCTGATGACAGAGAAACAGGAATCATAGTCCCACCTTGGGTCATTGGGGGATTCTGCTTAGATAACAGTAACAGAGTTGGAAGGGACCTTGGAGGTCATCTAGTCCAACCCCCTGCTCACACAGGAGACCTGTACTAGAGATTCGAACTGCTGATCTTTCTGATTGACAAGCTCAGTGTCTTAGCCACTTGAGCCACCTAGTCAGGCTAGATAAATGAAGAACCCAACATCTGTAGTTGAAACCTCTTTGACATAAAAGAGGATTGCCACAAGAGAATTGTGTTTTGCTGCTGCTGTGATTCGGTTAGTGAGAAGGTGAAGAGTAGAGTAGAGTAGAGTAGAAGAGAGAAGAGAAGAGAAGAGAAGAGAAGAGAAGAGAAGAGAAGAGAAGAGAAGAGAAGAGAATTTTTATTGGCCAAGTCTGATTGGACACACAAGGAATTTGTCTTGGTGCATACGCTCTCATATGCTCTTGGTGAACTCTGCTCAGCTATTTTGATTCATCTCTTATTTACATAACCTCTGCAGAAGGCTACTTTATGCCATCCGATAGAGTGGTCCATTGTTTCCTGGAAGAATGGAATTCAATCTCTTTATGCAATCATCTGCAGCAACTATCAGTTGTACAGGTAGATTTGTGATTTGAACAAGTTCTGGACCAGCCAAAGAACAGTGAATAACAAGATACCAGACAGCATGAGAAATAAATATACTGTACTTTATGCACATGCAAAAATCCATTTGCTCCTTCGCCGCATGCATAAAATAGACAAAAATGTGTCACGAGCAATGGTTGCCAGAGTCTGGTCTGTATTTTCCAATTGGATAACAAAGGCCACTTATATTTACTGAAAATATTATTCTGTCACCTAAAGTAGATACCAATTACACACTGGACTTCTTTCCTTTCAAAACATGGAAAAGCTGAGCATCGGTTAACTTAAGTTTCTCCATGATTTGCTCAAAATAACGAATTTCAGCAGGCCATGCTTAACCTCCTTCTGCCATTTATTCTGATCATTAACATCTTTAATCAATTTTATTAGGTTTAGTAACGAGAAAATATAAACATTTAAAACTAGTGGCATGATTTGGAAAAGGCCATCTTGGCTCCAGACTAAATTGATGCCTGTCAATGTGTGTATGTCCTTCCAGTCAAGCTTCATCCTTGACTGCTCTGTGGATACTCTGCTGTCACTTCTCTTCAAAAGTATATTGCCTTTTCTCTGGATAATTTCTAAATTTCCAAGTGTGGCCTACACCTAGAGATCCCCCTGCTTAGCTCTGAAAATATGCACACGTGTATAATTATTGCAATCTGTGTATCACTGTGGGTTTAATTAAGATTGGATTAATTGGATACAGAAACAGATTTTACTTCCTTCTCCCCTCAAAAGAGGACCAGGAAATAGGGAATCATGGAAAAGGATTGAGCCACGAGAGAAATGTGTTCTCTAAAGAGGATGGTAGATAGAACAAGTTGGATGTTTGGAAGAAAAAGGTATTTTGCTGCTAAAAAAAAATCACTGCTATTCTACTTACAGAAAAAAATTATCTCTTGCAAGAGGAAAAGTTGTTTGTTTTCATGCCACCTTCCTAACCGTTTGTTGGTTAATATAATTTGGTGGCATGTTACTGCCACTAAGGTTATTTGTGAATACTGTTTTGAAGTTTCATTTGTATTTCTGTCTACTGCAATATATTTTTGAAATTATCCCCAATCCAGAGATTCTCTAAAATCTTTTTTAAAATCTTAAATCATGAGAACAAATCAGTGTAAAATATGTACATTCCAAGGGGTGGGTTTTGCAATTTGGAGATTCCTTGTGATCATTGGTCATGGTTTCATGTAGCATCACTGTACTTTGGGAAGAATTTTTTTAAAAGTTTATTTAAAATTATTTATTTAAAATGCAATAGTTAAATAGGTGGGGGATGGGGGGGTTTCTACGCTGAAGATTCTTTGTCTGACCCATTGGTGAAAAACTAAACTGGCTTGTAGTTTAACTGGACCAAAAAAGGTCAGGCAAGAGATAAGTTAGCAATTTACAAAAGAATCGCCAAAGAATTTAATCATTCTTGTCTGCCTGATTTGGTGCTTTCTCCGTTTTGGTAGATTCGTTGCATAAAATTTACTGGGATGTTTTCTCTGTACCAACTTCCCCAACCAGCAGTCCTCTAGTAAACTCGGTTTCCAGAAAAACTGCTGGATGCTTTATCTCTCAGGCAATATTATTCTTGGTGAGCCTTTTTATTTCCTAAATAAATGGGCTTTCTACAACCTGCCCTCTTTGCAAAACTGGAAAACCAAAGCTGAGAAGTAGTAGCACCCTTTTACCCAAAGAACTGGTTGTTGCAGCCTGATTTGAACTGAGACTATTAATTGGATGAAAAAGAGATGTAACTCTGACTTTCTTGTGACCGTTCACTGTTGAATGATGCTTGTGGTGTGTTCCAGAAGGTCCTCCCTTTAGCCTGCTTCAGGTTGAATGTATTTGGGATTAAACAGGATTTAAAGCTACAAAGGAAATCTACAGCCCGCCAGAGGTTCAGCCCCACCGCTTTGTGTATTGCTGCCAAACAGCATTTCAGCAAAACTCCAAACCTTGGTTGGGCGCAGAATGAAGGCTCTTGATACAACCCAATAAAGGAGAATCATCCAGAATGAGAAATCATCAGCTGGATACATCGCATAGGGGCTCAAGTAAGACCAACGGAAGTTTCAAGCAATGATGGATTTGCTTTCAAATCAAATGTATTTATGGTGTATGTAACGGAAGGGATCTCTGTTTTTACCCAACAATGTACAGTCTATTTTCATCCATTTATGTGGAACTTTGTAATGTACAAATAAACTATTCAACTCTAACGAGAAGCTGATTTCTTCTCCCTTCTCCCCCTTTAAAGCTCGTCATAGGAGGATCATTTAGCCTTCGGGGAGCACCATTGGCCCATTAAAATCTAGTATTTTCTTCTATCAGTTTGTTTTAACAATAATCCAAGGGGTCTTTTATTGATTTGTTTAGCATAAAAATCCAGTGGAACAACTTGCCTCCAGAAGTTGCGGGCATCCCAATACTGGAAGAGACTGGACAACCATTTGTCCGAAATGGTATAGGGCAGGGGTCTCTAACCTTGGCAACTTAAAGACTTGTGGACTCTGAGAGTTGAAGTCCACAAGTCTTAAAGCCTGAGCAGGAGGTTGGACTAAAAGACCTCCAAGGTCCCTTCCAACTCTGGGTCTACTACTGGGCTCATTCCTCCCCTTTCCTTATTTTAACAGATTAACTGTTGAAAGGGACCAGAGTTGTAGGTCATCTAGTCCAACCCCCGCCCAAGCAGGAGACCCTGCCTACACCACAAATGGCAGTCCACTCTCTTCTTGAAAGCTCCCAGCCATGAAGCTCCCACAAGGGCTGAAGGCAACTTCTGTTCCATTGATTGATTGCTTGGTCAGAAAATTTGAAAGGCTCCATCAGTTGAATTTTGTCACACACACACACACACACACCCATGAAAGCTCGCTAGATTTCAATCTGGATTTATTCAACCTTGGAGCAGATTTTCCCCGTGGGAAAATTAAGGGGTGGGTGGGAGAGAGGGAGAGTCACAGTGCTGCTGTTTCCGGCCCACGTGGTATAGGATCTGCTTGAACAAGGGACTGGACTAGAAGACCTCCAAGGTCCCTTCCAGGTCTATTCTGACTCTAGCATCTTCCTCTAGAACAGTAGTTCTCAATCTGTGGGTCGCAACCCCTTTGCGGGTTCAACGACCCTTTCTCAGGGGTCACCTAAGACCATCGGAAAACACATATTTTCAATGGTTTTAGGAATAATTTTATGGTTGGGGGTCACCACAACATGAGGAACTGTATTAAAGAGTTGTGGCATTAGGAAGGTTGAGAAACACTGCTCTAGAGCACGTTCTTCTTTGCCAGGAGCTTCTCCTACCTGTGGACTTTCTAGCTGGACCAGGCTTCAGTTGAATCTAGCTGGGCCCCCAGGAAACAGCCTCCCTGACCCTGACAGCGATCCCCTGCAAAGAAGGCAAGCGGCAGCCGCCGGCCGGTGGCATATCAGGATGGCCTATTTCGACCCCTGGAAACCCGGCCGGCCCTTCAGCGGCTCCTCCCGTTCTCTTCCTCCTCCTCCTCCTCCTTCCGCGCTGTCCTTTTCCTTGCGGCCGCGGGAGGCAGGCGCGGCACCTGCCTGGGAGGAGCCGCCGCCGCCGCGCCGCGGGCAGGAAGATGGCGAGCGTGCAGCTGGAGTTCCAGGCCAGCGCTGGCGAGGCGGACCCGCAAAGCCGCCCGGTGCTGGTGCTGGGCCAGCTGCAGAACCTCCACCGGCTGCCGTGGGCTCACGTGCGGGGCAAGCTGCAGCCCAGGGTCACCGAGGAGGTAACGCGGAGTCGGGCTGGCATCGGCTCATCCTCTCCTCGCCTGCCCAACGCCCCTTCGCCCTTTGGAAGGGGCGCTGCCCCCCCCCCCCCCCCCCCCCCCCCCGCGCCCCCACCCCCCCCCCCCCTCCGCCCGGTCGTTCGTTCTTCTTGCAGCCGCGGCCCTGCCGGCCTCGAGCCGGGTCGCCCTCCCCTCGCCCTTAACTCCTGCCAGGGAGGCCTAGGCTGAGCCGCGAACCGCTCCGGCCGCGGCGATCGGGTTGAATCCCGGCGCCTCTCCCGGCGCCCTGCTCGGGGCGGAGTTATTTTGGTGGTGCCCAAGTTGGGTGGTTTGCTTGCAAGATGTTTCATTTATCCGAACTAAACTAGAATAGAATAGAATATAAACAGAATCGGAAAAGGGACCTTGGAGGTCTTCTAGTCCAACCCCCCCCCCCCCCCGCCCAGGCAGGAAAGCATATCTAACCGTGTCAGACAAATGGTTGTCCAATCTCTTCTTTAAAAACTTCCAGTGTTGTTGACTGGCACGGATGATGTTACCTAGTCGGGTCATGAAATGTCTGCAAAGCAAACCAAGCTCTGAGACCACCGAAGACTCCACAATTCAACCCTGAGCTACAGATAATTCACTTCCATTAGTACAATGGGTCTTAACCTTCCTAATGCCGCGACCCTTTAATACATGTTCCTCATGTGGTGGTGACCCCCAACCATAAAATTATTCCTAAAACCATTGAAAATAATGCGTTTTCCGATGGTCTTAGGCAACCCCTGTGAAAGGGTTGTTCTACCCCCCCAAAGGGGTCGTGACCCACAGGTTGAGAACCACTGCATTAGTAGAACAGCTTTGTGCCCCGGGGGTGGGGGGTGGGGGGGTTGCAGCCCTCTGCCCTCATGGAGAGCTTTGCAAGATGGAGAGGAATGTATGGGGAGTAGCGATGCTCTGATTCCCGATGCGGAGGATCTGGTCTTCGTTGCTGTCAGTGCAGATTCCAAATTAAATGGATTTTGAAATTGCTAACCTCGTGGCAATCTGCTGCCTGCGCTTTATCCCTGCCCCCAACCCTTTTCCCCTAGTTAATCACATAAGCTTCCAGATGTTTGCCTGCCTCTTTTTCATATCTTCCTAAGAGAGCTATACAATGGCCTTCAGATAGACTTATTGATTGGTAATGCTATGTACAGTCACAGATTTAGGCTGGCCCAAAATGTTGTTTGCTTCTTTGAGGTGTTGGGTAAACCTAATCTTTGTGCCTAGTAAAAGAGTTTGTTTGTGGTTTAAGGTGTTTTGTGAGTTCAGCCAATTGTGCTTGAATCAATGTGGTTAAGCAAAGTAAATGTAATATAAGATGTTCTGTGAATGGACCCTTAGATCATGCTGGCTGGGGAACTTGCTGAGTTGAAGTCCATCCGTGTAAAAGTTCCTGAGATTGAGAAACACTACTCTAGATTTTATTCCATTTTCCCCTGTGTTCTTATATTGACAAGGAAATTGAATGGATTTCCTTACAACCATTCATTTAGTGATCATTAAAAGTTACAAAGGCCATGAATAAAGTATAGGTATAGAAGAGAAAGAAAGAAAGAAAGAAAGAAAGAAAGAAAGAAAGAAAGAAAGAGAAAAAGAAAGAAAGAAAGAAAGAAAGAAAGAAAGAAAGAAAGAAAGAAAGAAGTAACTTATGACCTGTCCTCACACTTACAACCATACATAGCATTCCCAAGGTCACATGAACAAAATTTGGGTATTTGGCTACTACTATTGGCATCTATTTACAGCTGTTGTAGGGTCCTGGGATCACCATTTGCAATCTTCCCAGCCTGCTTCTAACAAGTAAAGTCACAGGGGGAGCCAGATTTGTTTAATAGCTGCAAGATTCACTTTACAACAGTGGCAAAAAAGGCCATTAAAATCAGGCATGACTTATTTAACAACCGTCCTGCATAGTAATGGAAACTCTGGTCAACCAAATTGAGGTAAATTGAAGATGACCTGTACAGCAGGATTTTTCAGCCTCAACACTGTGAAGATACTTGGACTTCAACTCTCAGAATTTCGCAGTGGAACTGCCATTTCTACAAATACAGCTGCTATTGTATACGGGCAGAATTTCCAGCTCTTATAATTTCACAATGGGAGTATGAAATTCAAGCTTTTAAGATTCAAGGTGTTGAACTAGGCCTACCCTCAGCCACGGAAGCACATGGAGTATGTCACCCTCAGCCCAATTTACAGGATTATTGTTGAAAAGAGTTGAAGAGTGCTACCCATGCACGCTTGGCCTTTTGGTGAGCTTTAAGTAAACATTTGACAGTACAATAGAGTTGAAATAGAACAATATTTCTCAACACTGGCAGCTTTTAAGTCGTGTAGACTTCAACTCCCAGAATTCCCCAGCCAGCATGAGGAGAGGAAAAATGCTCACCGCCAGTACATACATACACACAGCATCCTTACCTTGTCAGCAGGCATCTGAGAGGCTTCCTCATTTTTCCCTCAACAGCTACCACTTAACAAGATTTCAGATGTCCAAAGCAGCCAATGGCCACTCACCTATTGGGCCTTGCTGTCAGCCAGTAGAGTACAGGGGCCAGAGAGAAGCAGGAAAAAAGTTGGGAATACACCCCTCCCATCTTCCCTTGTGCTATGCAACCTATGGGCTATAGTCAGAAAGCATGTTGGCACTGAAGCTTTCCCAATTTTCATCCCCACAGAAATCATGGATCCCAGCATTCTTTAAATTAGCCCATTTAAGTCATCGTAGTTCAATCACTCTTACCCTATTCTTTCCAATTTTGTCTCCTGGTAGTTTACAAGGTATCCGTCACAACAAGAGTTTTAACACTAGATAGGCAGAGTGCCACATAAGCCATAATTTGCTCTGCTGAGCCAGGAGAGACGTGCAGTTTCTGTTTTGATTAATCAGCATGTATTCTCCTAGTTGAGCAATACTGACAAAGCATCAGGGCCAGCATATCACACACATGAGAAGCATGTTGTGAAGGTGTGTGTGCCAACAGTTGCATTAAGGACACTACCCCCTTTTAATGACTTTCACCAGCTATTTTTATTTACTTTTCAACAGCTGGGCCTCCCCATGATTGGAGACTTGTTTTGAATCTTGAACTAAAGCCTTTGGGATCCTGGTGGTGTACAAATTTAAAGTTAATAATAATAACAGCAACGGCAGCTTTCTATGGCCTTTTTTGAAACAACCCCCTTCTTGAGGATTCTTTAAATAGGCGCTCAGCTCTTCAGGGGAACTATTCAGACCCCCTATTAATAGTATCCTGTTACTCCGAAAATAAGACATCCCCTGATAATAAGCCCAATCAGGCTTTTAAGCTCCCCCCCTGTAAATAAGCCCTCCCCGAAAATATTTAAATGCACGCGCAGTCGGTTTCTGCCATTTCCTCTGGTTTCCTCCACGTGCCCCAAAATAAGACCTCCCCCAAAATAAGGCCAAGCGCTTATTT